AGTTTGAAGTCCTAGTGGTTCTCCCTTCACTTGTTGCAGACTCTGTTGTGTAGCCAACTGCGAAGCGGCATGTGCTTGTGCAGCTTGTAGTTGGTCCAGAGGAGCTCGTCGGTACGAGATGACTGTAAACTCAGGCGACGAGACCGCATGCAGCACGCGGTACAGCTGCGTGTAGGCCTCTCGACTTGAAATGGTCGTAAAATTGTCGTCCATGTCCACGGCGACGCACTCCATCACATCGTTTTCAGTGAATGCTTTATGAGCCTCTGTGCCTTGTTAGCACCACTCTCCCAGTCGTAGTACCACCTCGGAAAAGCTTTACTGTTCAGGTGGAATACTACAGGTTTCTCCTCATCTAACGCAGTATCTGAGCCTCGGATCGTGACCATCAGTCCGGATGGCCGATCCAAGACCCCAGCGATCCACTGACCGTCCAGATTCGTCTCTGTCTGTACACCCTCTTGGATTTTATCTACCTCGACGCACTCTCCAGGTCGGAGACTCACATCATTGACTGCTTCGAAGCGGGCGAAGACTGCTAACAACTCACTAGGTGGAGGCTGAAATGGGGCACTTCCAACCGGACGTTCCGCTAGTCGAATCTTCACACTCAGTGAGGATCCGCAGTAGCTTCGGTCAATATGCTCCGGACAGCAGTGCGGAAAGCAGCGCAGGATTTTAAGGCCTCTGGTGCGGTTGCTCCTAGTTAAAGTAAAACAAAATGGTCAGTCGCTACGAGTATCACCTCATGCGAGTCATTCTCTCATGCGTATGCAGAAAGTGAAAATGGACAGCGCAACGCGATTACGATGCCGTACCGCTTGTACTCGGAATGAAACAGCTGTTCGTGACCGCACTCGAGGCGGAAGTAGCTGCAGGTGGATACGCGTAGCGGCAGCGATGGCGCCGACATGTCAGTAAGGTGTTTGGCTGATGGTCTCTCGGTGTCTTTCTGGAAACTGGAGAAGGTCGACGAAGGGTCCCTTGAGGTTGCAGGATTGGAGCTCGTTGCTCAAACGGGGGAGGTGGACGCAGAAACACGAACATAGACTGTACGCGTATTTATCACTGCTTAGGAATAAAACTATTTTTAAGACTCTCTATGCCGCCGACTAGCAAGATTGGGACTAGCGCAGGCATAATTGGCTACGCGATAATTCGTTGTATATTTAAGAATCTACAGTGACATCCAGCTATATACTGCCCTCAAAATTGTGAGCAGTATGAATGTCATTTCTTCACATTTTATGTGAAATGCCTCGGAAGCAAAGCTCACTTACCCGCTGCATTTTATACAGCTACGACACGGCAATACTTCAGTTGTTTGGAAGCAAGCAATCCATCCTATACGATTGAAGTTTTCGGGGCTGTAATGGAATGAATGTATCTGGTGGCACGACAGACACGCAATAAAACACCGAATGATGTTACGAGATGACGGCGTGGCTGATGAAAAGATATGCAATTGATTGTCAAGCTTTCGAGAACCCGAGTACGACGATGCAAGACTCATTTCAACAAGATTAATTTTGCTGGAACTAACCGAAGGCGAATTTTTTTCGCACTTTGCTGGCGAGGCGCAGTGGCTTTAACAATAATGCGTCGGCCGTTAATATCCGTTAATATCATCTCTCGTTAAAAAACGAGCATCGCTGATTTAAAAGAGTTTGGCGGTGTAAGCGAGTCGCATGACGAATGCTAAGATTTTATTATTTTTTATTTAGCAAAAGTGTCGACATGGACACTGTCACTTTACACATGGGCTTGACAACCATATGCGAAGCTGACGATTTCGGCAAAACCATTTCAGCCGGAGCTACTACATTTTACTCAGCGTCATTGTCTAATTTCATGCAAAGAAGCAAATGGTCGATACAGCTACCGCATATTACAACGAACATGTAACTTCGTGAGGGACGGTTAATTTGGTAATGCTATTTTGCAGACATATTCGATATAACAGTAAGCTATCCATGAATCTTAAATCTATTCACGGTTTTTTTTAGAAAAGTACAGGCCCGCCATGGATTACAGCACTATTAGCTACAGCCTTTACCATGCGCTCCAACACTGGTCTAAGCTTACCGCTGTAGTACAAGGAGTCTAAATTATAGAAATCCTTTCTGAACCCTCTCACGAGTATCCCATGACCTACACTGTGCCATTTCTGGTCAATGTGTCTTAAAAGCGCTACATCCTCTTATTTTAGTTTCTTTCTTATCAAGATTTAGCTCCGCCGCCATCTAGGAAACCAATGACGATATCGAGCGATTCGGAAGGAAAGGCTAGGGTATAAAATGTCATTTCATGTACACGCTTCCGGTAAGTCCTGCACGATATGAACTGTGTTGCTGTCTATCTATATAAACCGCTTTTGAACTAGATGTATGATACAATGAAGTTTCCTGAGCCCAGCAGATCTCGTTAATATATGCAGGTCGTGGCATCATTACATTTTTCTTCGAACTTGCAGCTGAAACACACAAAAATACACAAGCTGATAATATGTACCTTCACCCTAAACAGACTCAGAAATAACTCATGTAGTTGACAGCAAGACTATTTGTAAACCACAGTACATTGTTCAAAATTTACCAGACCGTCAGAATTACGCAAGTATAAAACACGTCGATTACACGATTAGCTTACGAATTACGCAGAAAACAATCGATATTTAATGGTGAAAACGTAGTCCAAAAGTAGCACAGCAAAAGTGATTGGGGAATAATGGGTATAGACCGATTTTTCCATACGGGTCTCCCTTGTGCGCACGTGGTACAACCACCATACTTGGTCTCCTAAGGCACTTACCATCACGGTTTAACGCCAAATTAATTTTATGTAGCCTTAGCACACATACATTATATCACCCCATGTGAACACATTGACCCTTTTACAGAATGTACCAGGGATGCCATTATACTAAAAAATGACGTTCAGCGGCAGACACGTTCATTGCTGCCTTTAAGAAACCAGCGTACGTTGAGCCAACTTTTCTGCATACAGGGCAGATACCACCCCGGTTCTCGGGCTTCTTACGACAAGTCGTGAGTCTTGCAGATGGATCTGGTGCTGCGGAAGAAGCACGCACCGGGCCGCCGTACCGTCGGGACAGCAGAGCTATGAAATTACACGTGTAACTGTATTATTTATGCACCTGACAGCCTTTCACTTTGTCCTATCAGTGATAGGCTATCACGCACTACCGTTGGAGATGCTCTAACGTATTGTAATAGTCTCGTATCTCGTTCCGATACTTAAGCGGAAGATGTCAGCTGGTTACATTTTATATTACAGAGTTTTACGGCTGAGGCATAGCCATGAACCCTGGCTATTTTTGATAATTAGGCGTTCAGTATGATTAATTTGTGGTCAACGTCTTTCAACCGTGGGATCGTATTCTTTCGTAATTTGTTTTAGCTGTAGATCGTAGCCAAATGTCACACATTACAATGCTTAAGCCTCTATTCGTTGAATAGGCGTCAATTTTTTTCAAAGTGAAGGAAACGGTCAGTTGGTTCGGTGATAAGACACATCAACGGGCAAGTCTTTGGTCATACTTGCATATTTTGCAGTATCGTTGAGAATGGTCTTAGGCGCTCCTAACGACGCTATCACACAATAAAGGTGATCCTTTTTGCTTAGCTTTTGCCGGCGTTATATATTATAGGAAATGAGATAGCAGGAAGCAACCATGGATGGCGTTTGCAAGTGCCTCAGAAAGTGTAATTGTCATCGTGATTTGTAGCAGCATGCTTCGTTTTATCTTTAATCTTGTAAGTAGAAAACTGTGTTTGGGATCACACGCTCATGGTGCGGTTGTAGGCAAAAATCAATTTTAACCGCGACATGCCGTGCCACGACTTTGATGACATGACATGCGAGGACATGAGTGACAGTCGTTAAAAGCACTACAGTTACTAAAACGCAATTTTATCCCTCTTCTATAAAGAGACTCAGGAAGTCGCTGCAATTACTAAAACATAGTATTATACCTTGTATAAAGTGAGATGCTGAAAACTGCTACAATTGGTTGTATACCTTTTTTTCTTAATGAGACACTAATAGATGGAAGCTGAATCGGCGATATTTCAGACGTATGTGTTAGGAAATATCAATGTCAATGTCAAATAGCTCACTACAGGATTATCTTTGCTGCATGCCATCATCTCTTTGTGCCACTGCGCCCCGTGGAGTCTTCATGGACATCATGATGCCACCGCATACTCACGCTTAGGGTAAGTTATAGCTCCTAGGGAAACAGACAGTCAGTACGACCAGCCCCAATTAAGCGCAAACGTTTTCGCTTCCGAACGGATCTCCACGGCGGACATAATTAAGAGATCGATTTGGTCTTGTGTTTTCAGCTGACGTAGTATGGGGATGCGTCATGCCTGACGAAGCTCGACTGTTAGTTTCAGAACCTCAAAGCGTAAATTGTTTGCCGCCGTACCTGTTGCATTTTCGTTGGTATTTATTCTCCTACTGTGCAGCTGCAGAATCTATATATTATCGTCGTTAAGTGGTCTCAATAGAAAATTGTAGGAAGGGTCTCCAGCATAGATCTGATAGATGGCACATAGAGGGACCAGCACGTCTTTTAGCAGGCAATACAGGTATGAAGGGCGCAAAAAAGTCCAAAAGGAAAAAAAACTGGACAGGCAAGTATCTGCGGAAACGGTACTTGCGTTCGATAAGAAGTTACATGAGCTAAATTCCTACCTTAAACTTGATTATATGGCGCTTCCAAGACGGTGGTGACATTCATCTACTCGATACGAGCATCGCAACAGGACGCATGCTGTGTGAACACGGTTCCTGTATTTTGACAAATATATACGTAGGTAGCCCATCACCCTGCCACTTCTGCACAAGATGATGCTTAACGCTCATTCTCTTAAAAAAATTGATGTCTGGCATGTGCCCACACGACATCTTGGTTTTTCTCGTACCTAAATACCGAATACAGTACTGCACCCCGTTTTCGAGCCCTTGGACCTTTAATAAACTTCCGGATGCGAAGATCCTGAATATAAATGAACTATAGTTTGAAAGCTAAAATCGATTTAATTCCAATTCCTTCATGGTCCACCCCCGCGAAAACGGGGTGCAGTACTGTACACGCATTTTTTGTATTTCCAACGATTGCACGCCCTGCTTACCCCTGTTAAATCAAAAGAAGAAATGCAAATTAAAAGTGGTACTGTATCGCTCGACACTTATCGGACCCGACAGTTCCTTGATCAATGTTACGAAATCTTATGCATTGTTGTGATGTAACACTTCAAACAAACGCGCACGCAAGTGGACCAGGCGGAGAATCTTCTTCTGTGAACAGTCCGCCCGCCTGGTCCTTGTAATATTGCGAAAAGTACCGTCTACTACCCGGGAACTCGATCACTATCCTCTGTGTGCCCCGCACGAATCTGTTGTTTTGAGCAGAGGTAAGTAAGGCCACCCTCTGAGACCCCAAATAGAACCCGACCGTTTGGATACGCTGGACGGTCGTTAGACTTTCCGAGCTATGGAAGCCCGACCAAAGATCTAATGCGTAGGAATGCGCAGCAATCGTTATACATAATTCATGTCGCTAGTGAGCCCGCACGGACACCGATTTTGGTGCGATAGTGATTCTACCTCAGTGCAGCGGGGCTGCCGTAGCGTTAGCGTCGGAGGAAGAAGTTCGACTCAAAGAGTCCTTAATACAAAGCTCCTTGCCCCAAGGAATTCTCGCACCCAGGGCTCAAAAAATATTAACACCAATTTTTCTTTTGCTTCAAATCCGAGGTTTTTTTTACTTTAATACGGCCAAGTCATCTAGGGGTAAGTGTATATGTTCAGCTATCTAGCATAGCTAAACCTAATCAATGCATAAAGTGTGGCTTTCCGTCAACGTACTGAGAGACAATGTTAACTCTCCAGCTTAAGTACTGAGATTTTGCTATCTCTCTGAGTTGTCCGTATGCTGTGTGTCCCACACCCTATAGCTTCGTTACACTCCCCCCATTAAGATGAGAGCATCCTCGATCTCGAAACTTCCTCAGCGAGGTCGCTTCTTGCCAGTGCGTTGGGGGTCGCTGTACCTCACCCTTACATTCCGCTCATTTGTGAGCTCGCAAACGCATTCACATCGTTGATACCCAGCCCATCATCCGGGGACCAGGGCCCATTTACACCAGCGCGCAGCGTCTCAAGATCTCAAGTGGTCCTAGACCATCCCGCACGCGCAGCGCCAGCGCTGGAGCTTGCCCTAGGCTCTTGACTCATTTTTTACAGCCGCGGACAATACTCAGCGGTCGATCCTCGCCTCACAAGCGAGAGGTCAGCAACTGGGCACAGCCCTCTCGTTTTACGAACTCTTGTTCAAGCTTCAACAAGCTTAAGGGCATTGCCCTTTTAGCTCAGTGGTCGAGCACTCGTTTCGCAAGCGAGAGGCCGGCAATTCGATCCCATTCGGACTCAGCCCTCTCACTACAGTTTGGTTCATTTTCATTTAGCATAAAAACTAACCGAAAAATAACGGTTTTAGTCAGGTGTTTTCAGCACGGACGTTATTAAACCAATCGACAGGTTCATTGTAGTTTTAAAGAAAGGACACGCGGCACTAAAGCGAGCTGTAAGGCCAACGGTATCGTGCCGATTAAGCCGCTGAAATCCATTTTTTACGGCGTTGATAATATGCTAAGCTCAAGAGGGGTGGATGGCTTCCCATTATGCTGTTTTTAACCTCTCCGAGAAGGTCTACGAGCGCAAAAACCTTTCAGCCCATGATATCAAATGTTGCTCAGATTGACCGGGTTTTAGACCTTTAAAATCTCTTTACTTTTTTCGTTTAATTCGCGAAAATTCCCAGGCGACCAATTATTACGTCACACCATGAACAAGGATTCGAAAGCGGTCAAGAGTACGCGTCTCGCCCTTACAGCTTCATAGTAGAGCGTTGGCTTTGCAAACGACACGTCGGTGGCTCAATCCCACTCGAGCCCACGAATAACGAGCAGTATTGCATATGCAATAAAGCTTACAGGCATCGCCCTCATTGCTCAATGGTAGTGCATTGGCTTTTAAAAGCCAAAGGTCTATGGTTCGATCCCGTTCAGGACACACCACCTTCACTGCGACAGCTTCCCTCCATGTTTAAACTCTCATTCTGAACAAGGTTCTGCGAAACACATGCGCATCTATCGCGTCGCTTGGACCTTGTAACAAGCACAAAGTGGCAGAATCCAGCAGGACCACGTCCCAACACCCCCCTGCCTTCTGCCTCCTGCTCACACGGTAAGCACCGCTGCTCCGGTCCTCTGGTCCGAGCCTGAGCTCAGCTACTGACCTGTAGCCACCGCCACTAGTGGTGGGAGGCGCTCGGCGCCTGGCGACGTTGTATCGATCCCTGCTGGCACCCTGCAGCGGATGGGTCAGGTCATACGCGTCAACTACATCAGAGAAATCCTCATGGAGAGGTACTTCGAGCTCCCATGAGTTCTAGGAATGATGCAAATTTCTTCTGCAGACGGTACTGAGTACGACCCTGGTGACGAAGTGCCACAAGACGTTCCACGTAATAGTGAAGATCAACATGATCATTGGGCAGAGCTGAGGAGGGGGGGTTATCCCAAGCAGGATACTTGCGCTGCGGGTCGCCATGCTCTGGGATAGCGTCTCGACGTGTGCATCCACGACGCAAACGCTCCCGCTCACCACCGAGCAGCTGATCTCGACGAGATACTGCAGAGGGCAGACGCATTCGAGCACCCACACACGGTTAACAACCGGATTGCTGACTTGGAGCGGATCGTCGCCAGCTTCATCAAGCAATCCATGAGCAGGTCTCAGACCTGGAGCGTCATATCGCTCAGCTCCACGCTCCTCTTCGCTTGCTCCTTCATCACGAGGACTTTGGTCCGCGGCACGTGGCTCCGTTATGTTCGGTCCTACCGCCAACGCCTCCACCCTCACCCTGGTAGGGTCATGGTACGGCTTGAGCAAGCTCACATAGAATGCCGGATGCGTCCGCATCATCTTCGGAAGGTTGAGCGTGTATGACCCTTCTTGTCCACAACCGTGTAAGGTCCGATGAACCTAGGTCTGAGTTTGGTCTTAAAGACCGCAGACACTGCATGCGAAGGGAGTTTTTTGCGATAAATAAAACGAGGCCTCCAACCTTAGACTCTGTAAGACTACCTCTGATTCTCACATCAGCATATTCTTGTTTGCAGGTCTTGGCTCTCGGCCAAAGCGTCGCGTACCTGACGCATAATGCTAAGTCTCAGCAACACAAATTCATCGACTTGCTTGCGAACCGCAACAGGGCTGAGATCAGCAAGCCGATCGGCTATCCCCCCCACACACTAAGCCCTGAACCACTGTGCCGTGGCGGGCCGCGGGAATATGTCAAGCCGTTCACATTGAGCGAAGTGAAGCCTGTCGAGGCATGCACCGCATTGTTCAATGTGAGCTCGGCGATTAAGAGCATCGTGCTTCAGCGTTTAGTCGCCTTAGCGCATACGCTTCTGAGGGTGTCCTTTACATAGCAGCCCACGCGTTCAGTCTGACCATCGGTCTGTGGATGGTCTGCTTTGGTCATTTCCAAACGGGTGCCAAGCACCTTGAATAAGGACGCTTAGAAATTCGCAGTGAAGCACGGGTCTCGATCCTAGACAGTAGCCTCTGGCAAACCATGTCGACGAAAGACATGGCCACGCTGTACTCTCACCATCAATAGTGTCCAGCACCATTGCTAAGTGCGCCATCTTGCTCAATCGGTCTACAAAGCCCACGATGCCTGTGTTGCCCGCCTTATCCTTCGTAAGGCCAAACACAAAGTTTATACTGATGGACTGGCAGCATCCTGTGAGGGCAGGCAAGCTCGCCAACGGCGCTACCGCATTCGGTGTGGACTTCGTCCGCTGACGCGTCTCGCACGTGTGTACGTCGGCGCTCACTCATTTGTACAGCTTCAAAGGGCCACCAGTACATCAAACTCACCGAGCCATAGGTCTTCTCACGACCCAAGTGTCCACCGACGGGTGTATCATGAACCTCGTAAAGGATTCGATACTTGCGGTCCTCGTCGTGACGGACGACGACACCAGGAGTGTCCTCAGGGTTAAGTCTGTAGTACAGCAGGCCATCATTGAGAGTGTATCGATGCAGCCTCGCGCGTAGTCGCTCAGACAATTCCTTGTCTTAGTCTTTTAACTTCTTGCTCCCAAGAGCTCGTGGCAGGACTACGCACATGTCATCCTGTGCATACGTTGCGCGTATCATTTCAGGTATGGACGACGTCACTATGGTAACGTGGGCTAGCTCGTAGCCCGGCCTGCGCTAGAGCGTTTCGGTCACTACATTAAGCCGCCCCGGCTTGTACTTCACATCGAAATTATATTGGGCAAAAAAATGAGAGCCATCTCGTCATTCTCTGAAAGCGGTGTGGCGCGTCGCAGTGCGTTGCGCCGCATGATCCGTAAAGATCCCAAAAGGCTTAAATCCCAGTAGGTGTACCCTGAATTTGACTAGGCCATACTTCATGGTAAGTAGCTCTTTGTCGTGAGCTGGGTATTTCTTCTCTGCAGCTTGCAGCTTTGCGCTGGCCAGACTCAAACGCGATCACACGCTCGCGTCCTTCGGCGTCTGCTTGTAGTAAAGCACTCCCGGTTGCAAAATTGGAGGCGTCGCAGACGACGCTAGCCGGACGTTCCGGGTCCGCTGGGGCAAGTACTGGCGCCCGAAGAAGACTCTCCTTCCCAGCCTGGGAGGTGACATTCCAGCACCACGGTGCATACTTCTTAAAGAGATTTCTACGGTGGCCAAACCATCTCCGCGTAATTTGCGCTGTACTTATGCAAGTGAAAGGATAAACCAAGCCACTTATGTAAGTCCTTCTGGCGCTTGGGGAGTGGCCAGTTCACGATTGCCTTGACTTTGGCAGGATCTGCCCGTAAGCCACGCTTCCCAATGAAGCAACCGAGGAAAAGTATCTCCTACGCGCCGAATACGCACTTTTTCGCATATTACTGACTAGTGTGCATGCACTCGAGCATCGCTTGCAAATGTTCAATGCGGACCTCTCGCTTGGTAGGCGGGTCGCTAAAGCCTACACTCACCCTAGGCATAAGTCCGGACCTGAGAGCTCCACGTCAAGCCCGGCGAGTAGCCAGGAGCACCCGAGAGCGACAGAGAGTACGGGTAAGCGTACCAGGGTCCAGCCATACCGTTTGATTCTCCGATTGTGACTTCACCGTAAGACGTTTAAGTCGTCTGTACGCGCCGCAGAGGAGCAAACGTATTCGTAAGTGCGGTTTGGTACGGCGTGGGAAGGGTCACCTGGCCTGCCCACGTAGGTAAGGTCGGTTGCGATCCCAGGGCTATATCAGCACATGCACAATATTGGGGGGGCTGCCAGAATCTTTCGCCGCTCGTAGCTTGCGCTAGCCTTGTCGTCTGAGTTCCAGCGATACCACCAGATACCGCACCTTCTGCAGCCACACCCACTGAATTTAAACTGGGTACCGTACCACCAGCAGTCCCAAATTACAAGGAAGTCACAAGAGTCTACGTACCCTTTCCAAACAAGCCCCCCCCCCCGCAAGCACCAGCCAAGTGAGCCGCGCCCATCGCCAAAGAAGCGGAAGCGCTCGAGGTCGGTAGGGTCGATGCTACCGCTTGACATGGAGCTGGCTGATCCACCTGCAGATTGTTGCTCAATTCTGCACGTTCTGTCTTAATTATGGCCCTGCCAACGACACTCCTCACGGCTCTCAAACCTCCCAACGTGATATGTCTCGACGGGATGGGTTCGCAAGCGGGGTACTCGGAGCTAGGTGATCACCAGCTGCAGGACCGAGAAGAGCTCCATCAGACGCATCTTCATCATCCCTAAAGAACCCGAGCTGACCGAAGGGTCCATCAGGTCCTCCACTCGCACTGTCGACCATCTCGCTGACTGCGTCGTCGAATGCTGCGTCTTGGTCTCTCTCTTCACCACAATTCTTCCCGTCCATCCTAAGCTCTTGGATAGGGTTCAGTCTCCTCTCTCATCACGCGTTAGTACGCGATAACCACTTTGAACTCGTCGTAAGTCGACGTTCCGAACTCTTGTGTAGAGACGCTCCGATTTCAGTCAGTTCGCAGCGGTCTTTACGCACCGATTCAGTACTTACTGAGCTTCACTCACGTTCAAAGCGATCCTCTCGCAGTTGCGACTTCTTAACTGATCTAGTTTTCAGCTACCAAAGCGTTCTCGTCCCAAAACGAGAAAGAAGACCTCTCCGTAAGAATCACCTGGGGCCAGCTCGTAACATAACGGGTCTACACTTACGTTTTGAAGCAGCTATCATTCCAACGATAACCACACTTGATACGCCTCGGCGCCAATCAAGTCGATATCTAGCAATCAAAATACCCTGCTTCTCTACCAAATGTTGCGCGCCTCCCTCGCTGACAGAGTCGGGTACTCCGTGGTTGTTGTACGCGAGTACGGACTCGAGCGGGGTAGCGAGGCCAGAAGTCAAGAAATCAAGTAGAAGAAAGGTTGTTTTTTGTTGTTAATTGACGTTATAAATTACGCGACTTGGACTAAAGAACGAAGCCGCCGGGGGCTCCACTGATTCACTTGCAGTGGTGACACCTCGCCGTCTTCATACACCAGGTACGCTAGGAGAGTGTCCTTCCTCCTCTTCGTGGTACTCCAGCATCTTGCTTAGCATCAGTATTCCGTCATGCCACTCGTTCTAGCTTCGGCTCGCCTCGCATTATGCAGCACTTGGATCGCCAAGATCGCGTGAAATTTCTGGTTCTCACGTGCCGGTCTGGGTTTCAAACAGCTGATGCGAGAGATTGAAGCTCCTCTCCACGATGACTGCTCAGGCCATGTGGCCCACGTTGAAAGTATCCATCATGCTACCAGCTAACACAGTGAGTTCTGTTGACGAAAAATTATTAGATAAGAGCACAATGAGATACCCTACATAAACTCTCCTATTATCTTTGGCAAGGACAGTGTTATCTGGCAAATAAGTCTCATTAATGGTATTTCCGTTTTTAGAAGTGTGCACCGCTTCATAAATATTCAAATTTTAATATTGACCGGAAAAATGCACTCATAG